TGGGGACACTTCTGAGGAAGCAGTATTTTTCTTCCATATGTCAACCATCATTTATTTATACTCTAATCCAAATGTCCTTGAGAAATGCTAGTCAGTACAATAAACACAGATGAAGAGATTAGGTTACTTCGAATTTTTCATGACTCTGTAAGCCTGGGGAAACCCAATCATTAGCTTTGGAATGGTACAATGCCAATATTCGTATTGGAAAAGATCTGTTTCATGAGTAGTGATGGGTAGATCTCTGAAGTACAGGTAGTCCTCTGAATTCTTACATGAATTAGAGATTTGCAGATAAGCCTCCATCTGCGAGATTCTTCCATCTAAAGCCTTCCTTTTTCAGCACAGGGAATTCTTTTTATCCACAGCCTCTCATCTCATGTTTCACATTTAAAGGGCTCCCAAGGGACAAAGCAGCCCTTTGCGGTTCAACCTTGGTGTAATGAGTTGGTAGGGTTAGCTTCACTCAGGCTGAAGTGGTAGGAGCTCCTACAATATATATTTCAGAATGGACTCATTTGAGGTAATGGGACAAAAAAATCCCAGGATCAAGAAATTGGTGTTGCTTGAGATTTGGAGTGCGGTGAGGGTGGAGATCTTCTAGAATAAGCAAATCTTACACATTATAATACTGCAGGCATTTATTTTGAAAGGTATGAAGATGCAAAAATTGTATCTCATCTTATAAGAAATACTCATGTATCAATCTTCCTGGAACTATTAATCCATGTTCCATTTTTACTATTAATAGAATCACGAAGATGTACCCAGTCGGTCATAATGATTTGTTTTCTATGGATCAATATTCACAAATCCTGTAAATAAATAGGTGATAAATCCCAGGTGGGCACCTGTAGGGCCAGTTACATTTAGAGTTTTCTGGAGCACACATAATTGTGAGGTTTGCCCTTCCTACAGTCCTTCGTTTGCCATTTTCCTCGTCTTTGAACCAAAACACAGTTCTTCCCAGGCTGTAAGTGTTGAGGAGGGGCTCTTTTCCCGCTGGTGAAGGTGACAGGTTCACCACCGATCCACTCCCAGTGGCCAGAATGCACTTGGTCATTCAAACCTAATGTGAACCAAAAGAATGTGTCAAATGACTTTATTGCATTTGTATCTAGATATCACATCTAGTATGTTGTTCTAAGCTCAGTTATCACATGCAAACATGGGCCCAGGTTCTAAAACGAGGAATAGGAACTGGGAATACCATAAGACACAAGTAAGAGCATAAGGCTTTGGAGTCAGGCAGATCTGAGTCCAAGTTCTAGCTCCACCACTTGCTAGTTGAGCATCTTTGGACAAATTACTTAACCTCTCCAAGTTTTAGTTTCCTCATCTAAGGAATGGGCATAAAAATAGTAAACTTGGGGTTGTTTTGGGGATTGATTAAGATAATACATGTAAAGCTTTTAGCATATATATGTTTAATAAATAGCAGCAATTATTATTATTATTTGCGTCATCCTACACACACAACTCCTATCACAGGGAAACAGATATTCTCTTGTCTATTGTTCTTCTTCCTCATTGTTTAAATATCCTGGTTTTCATATTTGAAAGTAGTTTACTATGCATTATTTTCAGTCTGAAGCTTAAAATGTATCAATCTGCTACTATTCCAATAAAAAGCAGCTTTTCTCTACTTGCCTCTCTTCTCCCACTGGCAATTTTTGCAAATTACACTTTCATGTTGTAAAGCTTCTGTAATATTTTCTTAAAGAAACATTCTCCCCCACACTCCCTTTCATAATGGAAATAAAAAAAAGAATAAAATGAAAAAAGAACTCCCCGCAATAGCATGATCTGACATCTCCCAAATCAAATCTGACAATGAAAAGTCCTAGTTCCACAGCATATTTCCTTCCCCCAGCTGATTCCCAGTCAATCTTTTTGGGTGGAATTAAAGGAAATACCTTTGGTTAGAAATACCCTATGTTCTTCTGGATTGTCTTCTTGAATTAAGATGATGCTCTGCCTGAGTACTTTGTGAAGACAAAGCCTTAAAATCAGTCATTGTGGGTGTAGAGAAAACTTATCCTCCAGCTTTTACTCTTAATACTCTTAGATAATTTCAGAATTTAGAGACCCATTGAGTACTA